GCAAGAAATTTTATAACAATATTCCATACTGCAAACGTACTGTATGTCAGCTGACATGGGTACAATGTATGAAATTCATGACAAGCAAGTCAGTCGGTGCAAGCAAGCTAACAGTTTAGTCAAAACCAAGGCTGTCAACCAATTCACATGCAAATCGTTTCCAACATATCATAATATTGAAGCAATTAAACTGGTGGCGTTTAGAGAAGTGGTGTACACAATAAATTGATGAATGTCAATTTACGACAAATTTTATTGTAACGTCTTCAAAGACCAGCAGGATGACCATATCACCGATAACGACTTTTAATTATGCAAAATATATTTCATCTTATTATTTATAATATTTACAAATATTAATGAATTTTTACAACTTGTTTGAATAACAAGAAAAAAGCACCAGGTACATTACTTTGATATTTGATATGCATAGCAGAAATAAAATACTTAATTTTCACTTGTCAGAATCACTCAGTGAAAATAAAATCCAACGAATATACCTTATTTTCCATGTTTTACATTTAAAACATCAAAAATCAGTGAAATTAAACACCATTTTCAGCGAAAATTAATTTCAGCTAAAATAAAGTATTTCACAGTAGTTCAACCTCTATTACCGTACTTATCCGGGTAAGAGCTCATGCCTGGACAAACGCCCACCCCCCACTTTTGACACAATAAAGACGTTGAGGTCATATCCGGGCACACGCCCAGGAGGTCTTTTTCTACACAAAACAAAAAATTTATTTTCTATTCGTTGACTGTGGTTGTATTAACAGTTGACTTTCTTGAAGACTGTCGTGATACTTATAAAAATTGTTAATTGGTAAAACAAGGGGTGAACGCAAAATAGCTGTGACAGCTTTCTGCGTCAGGGCAGTGCGTTCACCGCTGATTTTTTTTCAGAATCATAACAGTCAGCAAGTCTATAAAAATAAATATTAAAGCAGAAACGATAGTTCTCTTTTTGAAATATGTCGTGACCCTAAAAAGGGCCGGCCGTTTGGTTTGTGCTTCCTTAGAAACGATTCAAACAAATCATTAAGGAGAGCCGCTAAGCAAGTGTCGCACTCGTTCGGCTTTAGCGTCGTCGACAATGAAACCAATGTTGCAATATTGTAGCAACCCGTACCTGGGAGAATGGTTGAAATCACGTTATTTTGGCTTTATAAATATTTTGTAGCAGCTTGCAAATCCATAACCGGGGCCAGCAATTTTGCAATGTCACGCCGAAGACTGCCAACTTTTTTACCATCTTTTATCACCGCTATTGCATTTCAGTCATGAAAACTATTCTTCTGTTGTTGGATAAAAAAAAAAACTTCCAAGTCCACCATGATATCCATATAATGAGACATTCCAACCGCCGGAACTTGCTGAATGATAACTTTCACCGAGATTAATAAGTGTCGAGTCTGATTAGAAAGCAATGTCACGATTTGACCTTTTTGATGAAATACTAGATGTCATTCTTAGCCAATCAGTAAAGCAGATGCATAAAGGTCAAAGATGATTGCTAGACTGTAAACAAAAGCATCGTGTGCCATCGCAGCAGAGCGACCCCATTTTCTCGTCTCTTTATTATGATTAGACATGAATGAAAAGTGCCAAGCTGACAGACTGCGAAATCTGTGGATTAAAAGTGCTAAGTCCAAATTGTGTGGAACGATATCGACGAACTTCAGGAATAAGTTGTAGGGATTTTGTTCGACGGCTACAGTGACGCTGACTTGGACATTTGAGGGTTTTGAGTTTGACGAAGATGGCAATGAACTTACAAATAAAGATCTGAGAAGTTTTATCAAACAGCTATGAATTTTTATAATTTTTACTGTGTAAATTATAATTGATCTTGTATGACGGTTGATTTGTAATTTGTCGAGACCGGAAATCATTTTACGCAGTTTAACCCCTAACATTTTTATTCATTTTGAGTTCACGCGTATTGGGCGCGTTTGTTGGCGGGAAAATCCCAATTCAAATGATTCCTCACTGTCGATTTTTATTATTTCTGGTTTATTTGTCACATTATAAGCAATACATTATTTTTGTTTTACTTCTAGTGCTGCATATTCGTCATTTATTTCCATTGCATGTTTTCATTTGTCATTCTATTCCCTGTCGCAGTTCGAACTGCGTGTTGTCAATTTTCGCGAATTTTCGTTTTTTTGCCGGGGATCTCCTGGCAAACGCCCACCCCTTCTTTCTGGCAATTTTCCATGTTCAGGACCCTGGGCTTATACCCGGATAAATACGATATATGTTTGTCTTGAAAATATGTGTATCAAAATGTTGGTATGGTAAAATAAAAAGATGTTCTCCTGGTCTGACATTTGTATACCGGTAGTCTGCTCCTCCAAACATGAAATGTTGATAAAAATTGACAAACCTTTGATTAAAAACTGTATAGTCATGAAATTTAATGAAAATTTTACAAAATGTGAAATTCTTTGCAATATCTGGCTCTCAAAGGTTCTGTTGGTTAAATGCAACATATTTAATGTACAACTACATTATCATGAGGACAATCAGTTTTCCAGAGTGTATACATTCTCTAACCCTGCTATTATGTGTAAAAATATATTAAATATAGCAATATGTGAGTATGCGAGTCAGTGAATGCTGGGCCATATGAATAAAAACAAAGTATAACCTAACTTTATCAGGATGGAACTTACTGATTGTACCTGTGGTAAAACAAAGAAAAATCTATGTAAATTACACACCAAAATAAATTTGCATGAAAAACAAAGTACACTACATTGTAAGTCATTGTCAATGACAGTCCTCTATAGTACTTGACTAGATTGACATTTGAGGACACAAAATGCATGGGGAAGGACGTCAATTGTAAATACATGTAAACTTAAGTGTTGGTCAAATATTACCGGTATTAACCGAATTTACGGCAGGTTTTTGGTACTACATGGAACGCATTTCAAAGTGGAAGTACATTAACATTTGCATATACTGTGCAAACACAAATCAAACAGCCCTTTTCAAGGCCACCACATCCTTCAGAAAGGGAACTACAGTTACATGGGACATTACAAAAAAAGTGGATGGGGTTGATGATAGCAGTGGATAGGGCATTACCACAGCAGTGGATAGGATTAATTATTGCAGTGGATAGAACATTATCACAGCAGTGAATGAGGCATTAAAATAGCAATGGATGGGAATTAGTGGATGGGGTTGATGATAGCAGCAATAGTGACGCCATTTTGTTTGTTATGGGAAGTAAGACAGCTCATTCATGATAAAGCATCTTCAGAATGTTGTTCAATGATAAGCCAATTGTTTTCTGGCAACGGACTGAAAAAAGTTCAATAGTTTTTTGGGTCAATTTGATCAGCGGTGACATATGAATCAAGCATAGCACCATCTAATTCTGCTCAACTCACACTACAATTCACACGCTTTGACCTTCTATCATTACATCAGTTTTAGTAAATCATTAAACTACCCTGCTGCAGCTCACTCACCAGGCATTGCCTAGCTGTTACATATTAGTAGTGAAAAGGGCAATCAAATTCTGCATGCAATAGTAACTTACGAGTGATAACTTGATCCATGAGCAGCAACATTAAGTTTGAATCTTCTGGGCTGCAAAATATATACAACAAATTCCAAATGTTATAGAACAATGACATGCCAAAATTTACATATATAAATTATATATATTTTCTGAAATTAGTCTGTTTACTATTAATACATAATACTTATTAGGACCATTATACTTACAGGATTAGTGCCAGCAATAGTCTGACCATTCAGTTTGGTGAGAGCTCTCTGTGCACTGTGTTCATTATCAAAATCTACAAAACAATATCCTCTTGGTTCACTGAAACAAAAAATTAAATACTAGTAAGTTGTATTAATATCAAATCACCTCAAAATGGAATCATTGGGTGGGGGTAAAATTACCAGTGCACACTACCAGTGTTGCCTCTAAGCCTTATTTTCGCAAAATCTTCTTAGTGAAGTTTCTGAGTAAAATTTGCCAAACTGAGAAATATTTCTGATACAATGTACAAGGTGTTATTTAAGATGAAATACAAATTCTTAGTGATAAATTCACATACTGTAAAATACTTTATTTTCGTTTAGAATAAATTTTCGCTTAAGGAATGATTCAGTGAAAATAAAATCCAGCGAATATACCTTTTTTCCCTATACTTTACATTCAACTCGTCAAAAATCAGTGAAAATAAATTCCATACAAAACAGCCAAAGTCTTTCAGCGAAAATTAATTCCAGCTAAAATAAAGTATTTTACAGTAATTAAGATAAGAAAAAAAAAAACTGTTGTAGCATTAAATATTTCACTTGGGTATCAGTGGATTTTGTGGAGATATGTCACCTCAACTTATACATGCAACTAATGAACATAGTAGCAGGCTACATTTGCAATGGCTCGGAAGCAGTGTTTTGGTCGAGTGCAAGCAAAATCATCAGTGAATCAAATGTTGTTAGGACAGCAACAAAACCAATATTTACTTGTTTTGATGGCAGA